TAATGAAAATGATTAGAGCATCGCATCGACACAAAATCAAGAAAGAAAAGGATGCGATGGCTGTCAGAGTGTCTAAACATAAGAAAGAAATGGCAAAAATCCAAAGCGGAAGAGAAGACAAACAAAGGGAGACTAAAAAGAGAATATTTCGGGCGAAGAGTCAAAAGAGCAAAAAACCCAGCGATTCATTGAATTAGTGTTTATATTTTGATAATTGAATAAAATATTAAAAATCATTATTATTTAAAAGTATATAAAAATTGATTCGTTGATAAAATATTCTACAATCATAACAATCATAACAATATGAAATATATTGCTTTTTTGATGTGTTTGTCAGTGTTGTCAATGCAATAAATGCCCTCCACCCCTATAAACGGTCAATGGTTAGCACTCATTTGAAGTGACATTTGACTCACACAAATTGACTACATGAAATAAAATTACAAAACATTTATTCAAACTTTGTTTTTTTTCATCCAATAATTTATTAACGGGGGAGCGGGGGTTCATCTAGTTGGTGTTAAATTTCATGCGATTCACTAAAATGTCTTACATTTGTTTGTTATGAAAGAATTGTCGGACAGAAGAGAACGCTTTAGCGAACGAATCGTAACACGAGAGCCTAGATCTGATCCAATCGGGAAGGTTTTGCCTTATGTTCGCTCTGTTTGTATATCTATTGTCTAAAAGAATAATAACCGCGAAATCGTCTTTATGCCGGATTGCTCTTCCAATTGATTGGTTCACTGCTTTCATACATAAGTTTTCATAAAACACCTAAAAACACATGAAACACATTATTGAATAATTAGAAACATTGGCAAACAAAATACGGCTTACATTTCCGGACTCGGGTTTCAATGAATTCAAATAATTGATTCTCTCTTTCAATTCAGGCGATTGTTTGTTAGCGTACGGCAGACCGACAACAATGACTCCTCGACCCAAATGGTCGCTGAAATTGATTCCTTCACTCATTTTGCCGCCGACGACACACATAAGTATCGCTCCTTTTTTGTTGTGACCAC